GTCTAGACATTTAACCCAGTTGGTTTAGTGCTCTGTAGACTGTAGCAGAACCTCGTGCAGTCTGGCCCATCGCTTGACGTGCATGCGTGCAAAATGGTCAAATGGATACTGAGCAAGATGTTTAATGACAGTTATGAATTAACATGAGTATCAAAGAGAATAATGTGTAGCCTTTTTTGCTAACTACATGCTAACATTTAAAATGTATAGTATTAGTAATGCCATGACCAGTTTTATGTAGTAAGGTGGGAACTTTTGGAGAAAGTAACATTGTATGCTTACTTAAAACTACTCTATGTAACTTTTTTTGTTCAAGTGCTGCATAAATCCATCTTCCAAACTATATATTTGCCTTACTTTGAATCACTATATTGTAAAGCGGCCAGGACAGATTTCATGGAAAACTGCATAATTCAGTCATTCATCTGTGCGTGTATACATTGTATCCATATAAATAACACAAAAAAGGTCAGACCACAACAAAAGAACCTCGTACCGAAAAGAGTTTGTGAGTAAAAATGAAAGCGACAGTGTCCACACTAAAAACGAATCAACACTAGCTTAGCTTTCCAGAAATAGGTTTAGTCTGCGCATTTACTGTGCATTGACTAGATTCACACAACAATATTTATGTTGCTAGCAATGCCAGTCTCTAAACCAGTTATTACTTTGGTCTTTTAGATAGCATACTAGTCAGCTAGCCACCGTTTTGCCTTATCTGATTTGAATACCAATTAATATGTCTAATGTCAGCATTACCGATCTTTTGTAATGTTAATTTAAAGGGAACCCGAGTATTAAGAGTTGTATGGCTTAATATAACGTACATTATTTCTCTTACTAAAAAATGTAGTAAAAAAAAAAAACATGTAAGATTTATGTTATTTTAAAAATCTACATTTTATACATATTTTGGACTATGGGGGCGCATCATGACGTCAAATGGTTGCTCTCTGTGACCTACACAACTTGGAAAATAAAATACTGATTTGATGCCACATTGTTGCTGCTTTTAGTTGTAAGTTTCAGTTTAAGAGAATGGGAAGATGGCTGTGGAGGAATACAACTTAATAAAGAACTGTATCTTTGTTCTCTAAACTTTAGCTCTGATGCCTTTGAGGCTTTTAGTAGACCACTGAGAAAACAAAGACATGGGTCTTTAGGAAGTTTTATTTGTCCAAAGCCATCTTCCCATTGTTTTCTCCACTTCTTATCACTAGTAAAACAGTTGAAGTCTTAATACCCGGGGTTCCCTTTAAAACAACTCTTTGCAAATAAGCTACTTACCTGCTCATAAGACGTATTTTCAGATATACATATTTATTTAATTGCTTATTGGTTTATTATGTGGAAGTGCCATAAGCCATCAATTTCATATGTGCGGAACAGCAGAACCAAAGCGCAATTTATTTATAAAAATGTTTTGCTTTAACTGCTAGAGGGCCGAAAGTTACATAGTGTAGCTTTAAAGATTCCAGTAAATGTGTGTAACATCAAACATGTTAACAGAAGATGCATTTGGTTGAAAAACATATATCTAAATGTAGATTAGCAACTGTTTGTCTAAGCACATGTAAAACCTTTCTAATGGCCAGCTTAGAACCAAATAGGAGCAAGTTCTGGGAAGCTAGCTTTGAGATCTGGAGATCATCCAAGAGGACTTAGACTTAGCGCACCAAAGCATGCTCGTTTGCACATAGCATCTTGACTGAGCCCATTTAGAGTTTGCATGCGGACTGGCACCAAGCCAGAGCTAAAGCGGAGTGCTATCAGAGCATCGCACAAAGGCTGGGCTCACCTCAAGTGAAGGGAGGGGAGGGGTGTTTGTTGTTTTCCTTGCTTTGAGAAGCAGGGTGGGTTGTTGGGGTGGGTAGGGATGACAACTTTCTGACGCACTCTCCTCGCCGTGATCTCTCTCTCAATCCCCCCTCCGTTGTCTGAAAGGGTGAGAGTTTGAGCGGAGAGGGGTGGAGGTTGTGTCGTAGGCAGCCTTTGTGCCATGGCTGGCTGCCACACCCTCTTATCTCCCGGAAGGCCCTGGGCCCCCCTGAAAACCTAGAACAGAGCAAGAGCCCTCACCCCCCACCCGGACTCGCCCGGCACCGCTGCCTTTACTGCCTGCTTCACAGAGACCTGGTACAGACACACGCGCTGCACTGCACCTGCATGCTACCCCAGTCACCCCCCTACACAACGATAGTGGCATCTCCCACCTAACCTCTCTATGGACAGGTGCATGTTAAACTGCTGGGATGCCCCACATCAAGCCACGCTACGGGGAGGTTGTGTCAAACCCCTGTTGTTGTTGGTGTTGTTGCAGTTCTTGTTGCCTTTCTTGTTGTTCCTGGTGGTATCGTCGTCGTTCATGTTGTGGGTGTAACGTCCTTTTCTGACCCTCGATGTTGTACACTCTTTCTTGCTGTTTTCTATGTCTATGTCCGTGTTTTCTCCCAGGAGGTAATGTTCTTTTTCCACACCCCTCGTTGTCTTTCTAACACATACTCACCCGCAGTCAGCAGAGGGACAACTCTGTGTCTCTCCTTGTCGCTGCGAAGAACTGCCGTTTTTACCCGCTGCAACCCGACGGCGACTAAACATTATGGATAGCTTTCGATAAATGATTTGAATTGATCAAGAAGCTAAAGAAACGACTACCACGGGGTTGCTGCGGGTTAAGGCGGTAAGATGGGCAGCGAATTGTATGTTGGATGTCTCTGGCATTGCCTGCACTAACCCCCGTCTCATTTGTTTTGTCCTGTTTGTCCTAATCACCAAGAAATGTCAAGAAAAGACGATATGACCCTAACGCCAGTGCCATCTAAAGAGGCTAAGAGAACTGCATCCCTGCCTAGTGTGCCCCTGGGTTCTGTCAGAACCTGCTGGACTGTACCCTCTCCTGCTGCTGATGCCGCTGCCGACGGCGTTGGCATTACTTGAATATAAAAGGACAGAAAGCGAGAGAAGAAAGGGACCGAACGGTCGAACATTTTTCATTTGAAGTCACATAGAACTGCTTCTCTAGCGCTGCCCCCGTTCCTTTGCCCCTCTGGCCCTGAGCATTCACACTGAGCCGTTTAGCAACCCTGATAACTGGTAGTGGATGGTACCACTCATCGGGGCATGACTTCACGTTTACACGCCACGACCTCCGGTTCCGACCCAGGCATGACCAGCTTCAGCTGTGGACCTCACATGGCAGAGGAGGGACACCAATGCAAGACAAACATATTGTTAATTAAAAAAAGAAGAATGATTTAAGTTCCAGTAGGTTGGTAACACATCCATGTGTGTTTCAATGGGCTAAATGACCACGTACTAAGAGAGGGACCCATATCAGACAGACATTTCAAGGCATAACTTTAATGTTTTTTGTTATTTCAGCATGTTATAATTGCAGGCATTTTCTGTAGTATTAATGAAACAAATAAACCCAAACAAAAAAGTTAAAAAAATCAATCTATTTGGCCAGCAGCGTATACTGCTGCATGAGGAAATCACCACTGTTATATATATGCCTAATGACGTCAATTACTGTTCCCCTTGAAAAAAACAAAACAAAAAAAATTTAACTGGCTGGGCCCTGTAGGTCTGCCCTGACCTGAATGCCATCACTGGCCAATCAGAGAGCTGCATGATGTAACTGCACTGGGGGTGGAGCCCACACAGCCTGCTGCGCTTTTCAAGGTATCTGCATGTCAAAGGAAAAACAGTTAACATTTACTTACTATGCAAAGGGGAAACATTGCACAAACCCTACGGTTTGGTAAATAATTTTCAACTGAGACAAAAAATAAAATCGATCTCAAGCTAGCTGATAATTAATAAGGCAGTCTTTTATGTGCTTGGCCATATATGTTTGACATTATAATAAGCTTCTGATTACTTAAAATTAATGTTTCTATGAAAATCTCAGCTTCTGAAAATGAAAATGTCATTGTCAGCTGTGTGGGACAGCATAATTGAGGCACTTGTGATATTAAAATGAAATTATTAATAGTAGAGAGAGCTCTCTAATAGTAGAGAGGCTGTTTCAGTAGAGAGAGCTCTAGTTTGGGGCTATGCCACTGGAATAAGAGCAGAAAGAGAGGGTGTTTTCTATACCATCATTGATCTACACCATCAGGTTTTTGAACTCGTCTTCTAAACCCTGAGCCCTTTTACAGCCATCATGTTCCCATGGAAACATTGCCAAAGCTACAAATAATGATAATAAAAAACTTGACAAAAAATTTCTAATTTTTTTTGTTTTTTTTTCCCTAATTTTGACATCAAACACGTCATCAGTTCAGAAGTCTTTCTTTTAGTACGTTCAGTTTGTCCTTTTTATTGGTAGACTTTGCATTCACACTGAAATTTAAAAACACTCCATATTCAAATTTATTTTAGAACCTGTAACAAATTTATGGTGTACTGAAAAAAAATATTAATGTTTATTTATTATCCAACAGGCTGTTATAAAATAACATCCGAAATGTCTAGTATTAAAAAATCTATAAAAAAGCATATAAATTCACTTTAAAATCACAATAACTAGGCATGAATGATATCATTTATTGCTCGATATTAGATTTTCTAAATTTAATGGTAATGGTATCAGTGTCCTATATTAGTTTTCCCTACATCATGTCTTTCAACTTAGATGCACATGTGAAATGCTGAAAATTTTTTTTCTGCTCGTCTCGGCTACAAATGCTCATATTTGTAGTATGTGTATTCTAAATAATTTTGTTTCAAAAACTCTCTTAAATAACGACTTCTCATTTACCTATAATCCATAGACTATAGTTCTGTTCTCTTAGTATTTATATTTTTTGTCAAGAATTATCTAATCAAACAGTAGGCCTATATATTTTTTGCTATATGTTGTGGCTTTTTCCTTAGTTTTACTGTGATTTTATATTTTTAGACAAAATTGCAATGGTCTATAATATTGATAAGTTATTGGAATGGGCTATAATTAAGGGTCACCTGGTCATTATCTCACAATAAACCCAGAAAGACCCAAATCAAAACAAATGCACTTTTGTCCTGAACAGTGGGAAATGATTATGCAAATTATTTCAATTATTATTATATTCAAATATTTTCATAGTAACAAGAATATAATTATTGCCTTTTCTGTATCATCTGAATGTCAGTATCAGTGCCTCTTTAATATTAACCAATGTCTCATTTCATATAAATAGTGAAATAAATCTCGGAACCTATTTATTTTTAGATTTCATTAAATTGTGAATTGTCAACCATCAGTCCACTGTGAGCATCTGCTGTTATGATTAACCTTGTGATGCAATGAGAGATGGAAATTGGCTTGTATTGTTTGCAGGTAAGGGAAAGTTATTTTAGCTGCCATCATGCCAAACTGGTGGTTCTCACAGAAGTGACGAGATGAGAAACAGAATCTCTCACTCCCTCTGCTGCCGTCATTAGCTTTTCTTTCTGCTGACTGACCGACCCTGATGGAGAGAAAACAAAAATCGGCCACAAAAATATATATTTATTTTATATTATTTTTACTGAATATTTAAATTAACTTATTAACATACCTTAAAAGCATTTGCTGCATTTTGGATATGTAACTAATTATAGACAATGCTACAAAGTATTATAAAAATTACGGCACAAACCTGTGGCTGTATATAGAGAAAGCTCATTTCGAAGTCGCTGTACAAGCTCACAAAGTTCCTCTTCTTCATCCATCTCTGAGTCATCTGAGTCTGAGTGCTCTTCCAGAGCTAAATCAGACATGGATCGATGAAGTAAAGAAAGATCTGGTCTTTTATGCAGTAGCTCCTCCTCCTCTTCCTCCTGTAGCCCCTCCTCCTCAACTTCCTCTTGCTGCCCTGCAACTGTATGGACATCCTCTTCTGTGTCATCCAGATTTGTGGAGATGTCTTCTGATACCTCATAAAGAGTCTCCTCCTCATCCACTTCTATTCTTCCTTCCTGATATGCTTCCCTCCCCTCCTGAACCTGCTCTTCTCCACTGGAGCTGTCTTGAGGTTTTAAACACCCAGGTTGAGTCCAGTCGTTTTCACTAATGCTGTCATCATGTTCTGGTTGAAGGTCTGAAAGGTCAATTCTTAGCTGATCTCTGTCCCTCACACACATCTGTGACAATGAAAAAAAAACTATTAAAGGGATAGTTCACCCAAAAATGAAAATTTGATGTTTATCTGCTTACCCCCAGGGCATCCAAGATGTAGGTGACTTTGTTTCTTCAGTATAACACATTTGATGATTTTTAACTCCAACCGTTGCAGTCTATCAGTGGTATAATGCATGGCAATGGTAACAAAATCTATGAGAGTAAAAAAAACATACACAGACAAATCCAAATTAAACCCTGCGGCTCGTGAAGACACATTGATGTGACGCTCTGGCGTAGTTTACGCAAGCGCCGGAAGTGATCTTTCGCGCGTATACGTCACTCATTGTTTACATAGTGCACAGTCATTGTAGGTAGGACGGCTAATCAAAATGGTACTTACTTGCGCTTATCCGAATTGTTCAAACCGACTTAAAACTAAAAGATTACGTTCTCTCGCGTGAACTCATTCGGGAGTGGTGACTTTCCACGTATTCCCAGCTTCTGAGCCTGCTCGCCTGAAGTTATGGTTGATTGCTCTTCGGCTGGATATCAACACACCCATTAACGTAAACTACGCCAGAGCGTGTACACACCTCACGAACCGGATGCTGTGCGGGCGCCCAAAGACAGTTGGACATAGTGGTGTATTAGAGGTAAAAAATTATATAAATACTGTTCGGTTTCGTGTCTTAGGACATCAGTGTGTCGTCACGAGCCGCAGGGTTTAATTTGGATTTGTCTGTGCATGTTTTTTTTACTCTCATAGATTTTGCTACCATTGCCATGCATTATACGACTGATAGACTGCAACAGTTAAAGTTAAAAATCATCATATGTGTTCTACTGAAGAAACAAAGTCACATACATCTTGGATGCCCTGGGGGTAAGCAGATAAACAAAAACAAAAATTTTCATTTTTGGGTGAACTATCCCTTTAAAGAACCTGTTATATGTTCCTTGTCATCTCTTGAATCTGCTTAAAAATTCAATCCAGTTGGATAACAGTTTTAACATCAACCAATAAACCTAATGTTATATTTGTCATATTTAAATGAAACGTAAAGGAAATGCACTTACAAAATCATGGCATAGTTTATTATTACCTATTTACATTTATTAGATTTTTAAAATAAAATGTATATTTTTAAACATCCATTTATATTACAAAATTATATTAAATTCAGCATAAATGTGCATTGATGTATTCAGTTAAAAATGGTTAACATAAAATATGGCTAGCTGTGGAACAAGCAAAATGTAATTAGTTAAAATGGGAAATGAGATTGAAACAAATTGGATGTAAGCCTAGCTTATTGCTGATAAATATATGAAACCTGGTTATTGTGCATAAACTGAATGTGTTCTAAATATATTTAAAACACATTCAGTTTATTAGTACAATTATAGAAATCTTACATGTTTCTTATTTGTTTCTTTATGTATAACTGACAAATATGCATTACATTTAGTTTCTTAGTTAATGTTAAATCTGATGGAAATCATTCAAATACAGAAATCTTCGATTTAGGCCCAGATATTTTTGGACTGCACTCTTTATGACCCCTCTCACATGTCTGACTCTGTCCAGTTCTTCTTCCAGATGCTGGTTATGTTGGTTCAGTGCCTCCATCATGGTCTTCAGCTCAGTACATTTGTCCTCCAGTGAATCATGCTCTGACTGGGCTGCAACTCTCCACACTTGAAACTCTTTCTCCAGGAGCCTGAATCATAACATCACAAACACACTGAGGCCCAATACAAAAATACAATTACAAAAACATGGTCCACAAGACTACCCTTTTTTAATACTCAAAAGATTTATTTTGGGCCCACCATTTATCTCTCTGCAGATCCCTCATGGCCTTCTGAGTAACACTGAGGCCTTTTTGGAGAATAGCTGTTTCTCTCTATAACACAATAAAGGTAAAAAAATAAACCCAGGGGCATCATTTATTATGTATCATTATGATAATCTATAGAGTGAAATTTTCTTATACACTCTAAAAAATGCTGGGTTAAAAAGGGACAAACCCACCTATGGGGTTGTTTTGACCCAGCGGTTGGGTTCAAAACAACCCAACCACTGGGTCAAAACAACCCAATAGCTGGTTTTGTCCCTTTTTAACCCAGCATTTTTGAGAGTGTAGGAACCCCTTGTTGCACTCTATAATGTGAAACGTTGCAGGCAAGTAACCTGAGGAATCTCTGTCTCCTCTGTCTGCAGGCCTTTAGACTCTACTGGAACCACAGCAGGGGTGGCAGTCAGACTTATTTCAGGAGCATTATGCATGCCTGGATCTGCTACAGACTGCAGCACTGGAGAAGGGGCACTGCAAAGACACATAGACGCATGAAATCATCTATATGCTGTATTTCATCAATGAAAAATACATGGTATACACGCAAAATGTGTACCTGTATTGCAGCTCTGCACTAGAGCCTGCTCTCAGGGCTCTCTTCCTCTCTGCTTCTCTCCGAGCGTGTCGAGGTACCAAAGCGTGTCGAGCACTAGAGGCCAGTGACGCCATTGACTCCTTCCAGGATGGCTGAACAAAGAATAATGTGTATAACCATAATATACAGTATATAGCATAATTAAAAGAGTAGAAGTATTGTCAGTTACTATTTTTTGTCATTTTATATTTTAAATAATTCATTAATTATTGACAGCACATATTAATTTCCTGAGAATAGCTTTTGAATACATAATGGTGGTATACTGTATGTGTGGTAAATGGTAAAATGGTTCCTGTGTCCTAGTACCCAATGGCTTAAAATAATATAATTTTTTATTTATTTAATGAATTTCATTGAATTTGCCTATTCCAGCCTACAGCTCAAATCACTCTATCCTGCTATGGATGCACTTATGTTGTTATTAAAATCCTGGCCTATAATGAAAAGCTGCTGAATGTCTAATATTTCAAATTCTATAATATTTCTAAATGAATAAACAGACAAATGCTAAGTCAAGGCATTGAACTAAAAACCCTAGTTAATATATATAAAACATCATATGCTTGTTTGCACACCTGAGTGCAATATTCCAGTACAGGATGAGAGGGCTTGTGTTTCCTGCTGCGTCTCTCAGTCAGAAAGCAGCTTTGGCACAGGTGTACGTTCAGGCATTTCAAACAGCGATACCTATGGACAGGTCATACCATTATCATCTACCAGACAGCATGCATGTCAACCCCAATACAAACATACAGTGGCAGTATTATTTTATGTTATATAATTTAATATATGTTTTCATTTTAGCTTTATTTTCAGTAATTGTTTTTTTTTGTCAATTATGTTTCTTTTATTCATTATTAAATTTTTAGTTCGTTTTATACATATTACAAACACTTTTCTACACACCGTGTACATGCACACAGCTGTGGGCCAGTGGGACAGCTTAAAACCCCATCAAGTATGTATGGTAATACTATGAAAAATAGAGAAAAGTTGGGAGGTTGTATCAAAGCATAGCTCAGTAGCTTAGTACATATAAGATACATAAATGTAGTCTCATTTGTGTGAGTACAAGGTTTTATTTTTAAAATTTTGCACCCTGTTTTGTCCCACTTCTCAAGAATGACTATTTTGTTGTAAATTCTGTTTACAATTACAGTAAATAAAGTATATATATATATATATTTATATATATATATAAAAAGTTAAGTTATTACTGTTTCATTGACTATTTACAGCGGTCGACGTCAATCCAGCAGAAGACTTGGCAACCTTGAATATCTGGCAACCCCACACTCATTGTTCAAGGCACGGCCACGCGATTTTCGAGGGAAAACATCATCTGATAAAACGGTAGGTGATTTACATGTAAAATTGTAAATGTAACAGTATTTATTAACAACAACAAATCTAAAAACGTCTATGCTACTATTACTGCACATTAGATAGGCTGCGATATGTATAATTGTATATATGGTGCAAATAAGTTAGCTACAGCCACAGTTTCTCCGTGTTCAAAGTAGCCTAATTACGTTACAGGAAAGCGAAAGCAAAAAATAGTTGAGAAACTGCTCTATAAACCCGTTTTATTTTATCCGGTTCGTCAGCAAATCGTAAACCGATCTATTTAATACTCAAGTCTTAAACACATAATAGTAAATTGTTAAGTATTCCATGTCGAACTATTAATAAATAAATTTAGTTCAAGTTCAAGTTCAAGTCTGCTTTATTGTCAATTCTTCCACAAGTACAGCACATACACACAGAGAATTGAAATTGCGTTACTCTCAGACCCTTGGTGCATACAGATAACATAAATACAGATTAAATACAAAATACAAAACATTTTGCACCAACAAAATACAAAACATTTATAACATAATAGTGAACTTATGGCTCACCTGAACGCTGTAACATGAAATGTTCCTTGTGTGAACATCAAGCTTGTGCAACTTGCAAACTTGCGTGCACAAGCTGCCACTTAGCTGGTTTGTATTACTTGGTGTTAATAATGCATGAGCAGAGCTTTTGTTTCACTTAGTCCATGTCAGTACTATTGGCTATTAGCTTATTGACTACTTTTTAACTCTGTATTGTATAGCATGCATCTTTGCTTTGAGGTGAATAAGAACAATTCACTGTACTGAAGATGCTTTGCGGACAATTATTAACTTACATAGACTAACCTCTCTCTTCTTCTTCTTCTTCTCTCCAGTTCTTCAGGGCTGATTTTAAACTATGGGAGAAAAAGAATCATTTAACAGAATTCGCCACAATAAAACTTTCCTCTTGGAGACTTTATCTGAAGATCCTGAAATCATCTTGCAGCATGTGCAGGAGGCTTATCTTATTACTCAACGTGATTACAGGAACCTCTCAGATATTACTAAAAGAGAGGAGAAAGTCATCAAAATCCTTGACACACTCATGGGAAAGGGGGAGGATACTTGTCGCCAGTTCATAGACCTTTTAAGACAGGACTGTATATTGGCATCTTTTCCAAAATTAAAGGATCATGCCGTTATTGCTTTTCCAGCCATGCCACACACCTCTCCAGTGCAGGAGGTGAAGTTCATATTTGAAAGATTCAGCCTACTGTAAATGCGGCAATCAAGGATATTCTGTTCCACTGAGGTGCATATGTGCTTTTATTTCAGGTCTCTCAATACAAAATAGAACAAATTCCACGTGGTGTCTGCGTAATCATCAATAATGTAGATTTTGCAACCATGGACGAAAGAAGGGGATCAGATGAGGACCAAAGTTAGTTTTTTTAAACATTTTTTGATGTATTTAGGTAGTTAGCATAAGATACTTTAAAGGAGTAGGTCATCCACAAATTAAAGTTTGCTGATATTTTACACACCCTCAAGCATTCTAAGATATTGATGAGTTTGTTCCGTCATCAAAACAGATTTGGAGAAATTTAGCATTACGTCACTTGTGCACCAGCGGATCCTTTGCAGTAAATGGGTGCCGTTGGAATGAGAGTTCAAACAGCTGATAAAACCACCACAATAATTGATTAAAAACAGCTTTTAGCTTTCACAAGATGACCATCCTGCTTACTGTGAATAATGAGGTTAGTAGTCAGGGAATCAGGAGCAAACAGATGCCCGTCCAAGAAGTCGCCATGAGGAAGATGCTGGTCCTGCTGCCAGTGTGAACCACTGAAAGCTCCTACAGCATACAGCATTTATAAGGCAGTCTATTCTTTACTATTACATTCCAGTTGGTTTTTAAATCAGGAATGGGACTGTTTACTTGAAGGGAATCATAAGCCAGTTGAGTTCAATTTGTTTTTTAGTTTTATAAGTAACTTTTTGATAAAAAAAGAATTACTGCATTTTTGCAAACATGTTTTTCACATTTCTATGTGCTGTCATTTTAATGTTCTATCTGTATCCAATTCAAATACACTGATCCAGGTATTTTACAATCATCTTTAAATATGATAATTTAATGCATTTAGAATGAAATGCATTTTGATATTATATTACTCAGTCATCTGCAATGCAACACATAAGCATAAATATGTAGGTTAGGACAACCGAAAATGTAGGTTCAAATATAGGTAAAAATGAACATGTAAATTCTCTACATACTGTAGATGTGTTTAGACATGTGCCATCAGAATTGTGAAACTTGTGTATTAAATAAATGCAATGCACACAGACTGAAGTAGTTTAAGTCTTTGGTTCTTTTAATTGTGATGATCTCACATTTAACAAAACCCACCAATTCACTGAACCAAACTGAGAGACCATTTTGAAGGCTCAGGAAACCTTTGCAGGTGTTTTGAGTTGATTAGCTGATTGGCATGTCACCATATTCTAATTTGTTGAGATAGTGAATTGGTGGGTTTTTGTTAAATGTGAGCCAAAATCATCACAATTAAAAGAACCAAAGACTTAAACTACTTCAGTCTGTGTGCACTTAATTTATTTAATACACGAGTTTCACAATTTGAGTTGAATTACTAAAATGAATTAAATAAAAAATAAACGTTTCCACGACATTCTAATTTATTGAGATGCACCTGTATAATAGCAATATATAATATTTAATAGCACTTTATACCAAGTAATGCATGTGAAGCATTGGGCAACTTACAACTCCTCTCCATAAACAACAACAAAAAAACGGTTGTGCTTAAAACGTTAAAATCAGCCGCTTATGTTTGTGTTTGTCCATTACTAAAATACAGTGAATTATAAATGAAGAAGCAAATGAATGAAGCGCTAATGTAAAACAGCTGTATTCAGTCTGAAGAACCCGAAAGTGCCATAACCAAGCCGAACCAAAACTCCATCGGTGACAGAAATGGAGAAAAAAACCTTGGGAGAAACCAGAATCAGTTGGGGGACCAGTTCTCCTCTGGCCAGACGAACCCAGCATGGCGTGGTTTAATTTCAGGCTGCAACACAAGTCAGAAATGTGCAGAGGACTCATCTGGCTCCCGTGGTCTGTGGCGATGGCCGTCTAGGTGACAAGGTCTTTGCTGAGGATTTGTCTCTGGGGCCCAGCTGACATTCAGGGCTGTCAAGGTCGTCTCTAGGTGCTTATCCACCATCTGGACTGGATACGGACTGGATCTGGGTGACTGCAGTGACCATCTGATCTGGATATGGACTGGATCTGGGTGGCTACGATGACCGCAGAATAAGAATGATACAGACTAATCTTTGCGTCTTTTTTAAAAATTCTTCCATTGACATCAATTCCATATGATAATATAAATATATTTATTTATAAATAAATATAAATTTAAAGTATGATTATGACAATAATCCTGACACGTGTTGTCTAACCTTAATGGAGTAAATAATATCTATAAAAGTTTATCCCAATGCATCTTTTTCATTATCTACATGAATATTAAAATCGCCATAATTAAGACTTTATCTGCAGCCACTAACTCAGTTACTCAGACAAAAAAAAATAAAATCAGCAAATTCTTTGATAAAGTTTATATGGTGCCCTGCTGACCTGTATACAGTAGCCAGTACAGATGTCAATAGGGATTTATCATTAACACGTATTACTCTAGAATAGATAATGTTACCTAAAGAACCATTACTTCAAACTAATTATACTTGAAACCAGACCTTTGAGAAATACTGAAAACATTGCTATAAATTGTAGCAACACCTCCCCCTTTACCTTTTGGGCACTGCTCATGTTTATAACAGTAATCTTGGAGTGTAAAGTTATGTAATCATCTGGTTTTAGCCAGGTTTCTGTCAAGCACACAAACATCAAACAGGTTATGATCTGTGATCATATCATCTACAAATAGTGTTTCCTAAAAAAAAGGGATCTAATATCCATTCAGCCAAGCTTTATCATTTGTTTATCTGTATTATATCTGTTTTATTTGTTGAACATGATTAAATTGTTACCCTTAAATTGAATCGCCAATAACTAGGGCAGTTTCATCAGGTTACTCAGTGGTCGCGTCACTGAGTGGGGAGAACCTTTTTAATGTTTTGATCGGAACTGAAGAGTGGTGTTTTGTCCCGTGACTATGGCCCTGTCCCAAATGGCACAATACATGTGCACTTCTGGACTTACAATGGATGCTGTGTGCGTGTATCCGTTAAGTCCACGAGACCATTGGATGTCCGATTCGTCATTTTAGCTTTCAGAAGGGTGCTCACGAGCGCCCCCTTTGTGGCTGCTATTCGCCCTCTACAGT